GGTTAACTAGTTGATTACTGGTTGGTTGACTGGCTGGTTACTGATTGGTTAACTAGTTGATTACTGGTTGGTTGACTGGCTGGTTACTGGTTGGTTAACTAGTTGGTTACTGGTTGGTAGGCTAGTTAAATACCCGGCCTTTCTTTCTCTGTGTTGTCCTAGCAACCAGTGTGAAATGTTCCTGACCAATCGTCTCTCAGGTCTTTCCGTCTCGCTGCTTTGGTTGGTTTGTTGTGAAGGATGAAACTCAACATGACTGGATGAAAAACTGAAAGTTTTGCTCATTGGTTACATCAGCAGGAAGTGGATTGATCTTCTGGTTGAGTTGATAAGCTATTAGCAACAGTTAGCTTAGCACTGGTTGTTAGCTAAACTGAAATGTAGGACTAGTTAACTGGTTTATTAGTTTATGGTTACTGGGTTTAGGATTTAATGTTGTGGATGTGTATGTTTAGATAACCAAGCAAAACTTTAATATTTAATTAAAATCACATAAAGGATGGATTTATCTCGTTCACTGGGCTGGTTTGACTGGTTTGTAACTGGGAACGAGGTGATTGGTTGGTGGGACAGTTTCAGTTTGTATGTTGGTTCAAAGTCTGGTTAGGAAAAGGAAGCTTTTGTTTATGAGCTATTGGAGGAGGGTTAATTACAGAAATGATCTGGAGTTAGCAGGCTGGTGGTTTGGTAGTTAGCAGGCTGGTGGTTTGGTAGTTAGCAGGCTGGTGGCTTGGTAGTTAGCAGGTTGGTGGTTTGGTAGTTAGCAGGTTGGTGGTTTGGTAGTTAGCAGGCTGGTGGTTTGGTAGTTAGCAGGCTGGTGGTTTGGATCGGTCTAGCAGCTTTGGGGTCCGTCTGGTCCAAACTGGAAACCTCTACTGATGGATGTGTTTTCACCTGATCTGGTGTTTTCGTACTGATCAACATTTCTCCTTCACAGAGACGAAACATCATGTTTAGCTGGTGTTTGATCAACAACCAAGAGATTCAGCAGATCAGTCAGACAATGCAACATGAAAACTCCTCCAAATGTCTGCAGGAGATAAATGTGCAGCTAAACAGTGATAAAACATTAATATTAAGATCCTTAGAGGACGGTCAGTTTGTTACGGAAACCGTCTCTGATTGGTGAACAGGAACTTCACAGCCTCTCCTGTCTCAGTTTAACGACAGTGATCAGATAAAGACGGTGAGGAAGAAGTCATAAATCTAAAGAAGTTTTATCAGAAAAGAAAATGAAGTAATAAAATACAAAACAAATCAATGCTGCATGAAACCTGTTTTTATCCAGGGAACATTAAGACCTGAACAGCGCTGACATAAGCAGCCTCCATCTCAGTCTAATGCCCAGAGGAAAGGTTCGGCAGGACCGTTTGGAGGCTCCCGGCCGCTTTGTGTCCGTACCTGGAAGCAGATGGGCGTCTGGATGTCGTCCACCCTGAACTGTTTCAGGAATCGTTCGTCCCGACTCCAGAACAGCCGGATGTCCGGGATGCTGTAGAGGATCATGGCCAGACGCTCCAGACCCAAACCGAACGCCCAGCCCAGTTTGTTCCCAGCACCCGCTGAAAACACACAAACACAGAAACTCAGGAGGCCTGAGGACAAAACCACTTCACCACTGTTCTTCTTCTGTGGTACCTTTAACCTCAACACTTTAACTTCTGAACCAGCTGATGTTCAGATTAGCTCCTTAAAGCCAACAAGTTTCTAAGCATCTTCTGCCTTCAGGCCAAAACCTCCAGCCGTTTTGTTTTGATGCTTTTTGAGTATCGAATTAGAAACAGAAAACTTGACTTCAAGGAATTTCACTAAAAAGTTTTAAAATCGTTTTAGGCGGTTCTGGACTTTCCCAAAAAATGTTAGTCCACTAAAGCAGAGACGGAAACACATTAAGTAAATAAGTTCTGATGTAGCAAATGCTGAACCGCACCTATGGACCCGAACTCTGACCCTGACCCAGACTCCTCAGCGCTCCAGTCTGCAGGTTATAATCAACAACATGGCCGCCAGTCGGCGACTTCATATCATCTAAATGAAGCTCTTATTGCTGCGCCGTCCATCACGCTGCCTCAGGCAGAACAATATTCCAGCAGGGTTCTGATTTTTTCAGAACTAAAGCTCCTCAGCTGCACTGCGGGGGGTCAAAGCAGAGGGCGAACACTCTGTGGAATAAAGGATTATGGGTAAATCCAAGGATTTCAGGCGAGTTCGGCCTGGGACCGAGATGAGAGGAAGACGGTTTGTCTCAGAGGGACGAAGACTAATCAAGACAAACCTGCTTCCTGCAGACCCGCCAGGAACTAAAACTGACAAAAAGCTGACAGAACGAAAAACTGACGGAGCCTTTCAAGGTTCTGATGTGAAGATTATCTAATTAAATCAGTTAGAAGCTTTTATTGGATCAAACGGAAACCGAACTGTTCAGCAGGAATAAAAGCCACTAAAGTGAGTGAAATATAAAAACTCCTGCTGAAACAGTAAGGCTGGCTGAACCTTACTGTTAGTGAGACGGACGGTAAGGACGGAATAATGGATCAATAACCAGATGGATCAATAACCAGATGGATCAATAACCAGATGGATCAGTTGATGGATGAGTCTAACTCAGTCTTGAACCTCCTTGACATTTTTGCAACCAGAATTGGTTGTTTCAATCTTTTCTGTAGTAAATAAAGAAATCCTGACCGTTTCATTCACTCATACACTCAGTCTGCGACTGTGAAGAGCCATGGTCATGTGGTGACAGAAAGGCAAAGTGTCATCAGGATAGATAATAACAATCTGAGCAAAGTGACCGTGTAGACACTGAACAGAAGTGGTCTGGGAGCAGAGCCTTGGGGAACGCCGCCGGCAGATCTTAGTATTAATAAACACCATAAAGCCGTTCTGGAGCAGGATCTGAACCATTCCAGTTTAATGACAGCAGACCAAAGAGTGCCCGCTGAAGGATGACCTGAGTAAATGCACACGGAGATTTTAACTGATTCATTCATTTATAAGAAAATAAATGTCCTAAACTGAATCCAGTGGAAAATTATCCAAATGAAGCCATTTTTATAGCAGACGAGGCGTTTCTTTACTCCTCAATAATCCATAAAACTTTTTTATTCACAATTTGAATTATTAAATCAGAAATGGTTAATGGAAACAGCAAAAATAAGAATTAACTTCCTAAATTTCCCAGAAAGGTTTTTACAATTGTTTGAGGTGATTTTCGGCTTTTCCGAAGAGTTGACGAGTTAAACGCGAGACGGAAACTAAGTAACTGAAGAAGTTCTGCCATAGCGAACGCTGCCATCTACTGGTGGGTCTGAGCCTTACCACAGGCTCCAAACTCAAATTTCAAAGTTTGTTTAAAGATTGCAGAAAAGTTAATGTAACCATGACGACTGATGTGATTTTATGATAATAAAGCAGCTTTCTGGCAGGAGCGTCTGTTTCCTCTAAATGCTTAAGTTTTTACATTTCTGACACTTTAAATTTGAACAGAAACTTCAGGAAGATGATCAAGTTTCTGTTTGATCAGTTGAGCAGAAATCTGCAGGAATAATGAGCTGGAGGAGGAGAGGGCGTAATGTGAGCCTCCAAATCTGTGTGTGTGTTCTGCTGATAGACACACACACACAGAGGGAGCAGAATCACCTGAGTTGATTGGAAATGGTCTGTGCACATAAACACAAACTGACTTCCTGCTTCACATCCTGGCCTCGGAGTCGGACCAATCAGCAGTCGGGGAAAGCGGTCTGTATGCTAATGAGCCAGGGGTCAGGAGGTCACAGTTAGAAATCTTCCTTTCCTCCTCGTCTTCCTCCGTTGTTAAGCTCTCCTCCTGGTTCTGTTTGTCCTGATGAGTGTGTGGCGCCGTTACGGAGGATTGGCAGCCGTCACACACACCGCCATAACACACACACACACACACACACACACACACACACACACACACACACACACACACA